GCGGCCAAGACTCAGAGACTATAAAATCCAGATCCCGGAACCACGCGGCCGCATTCGCGACATCTTATCAGAACTTTTTTTTATGACATCTTATTATCTCATTCCTACTTTGGACAAACTTGCAGGCTATCGAATGTAGCCTGCCCACAGGGCAGAGTCTGGCAAACTCCCCATGGCGTACCAAATATGCCAAATACCAGTAACAATGATGGCTCTCATTCTCCTAAAGAGCCGTGAATATAATCTCAGGGCTAGGATTAAAGAGACGTTACTGTTACTGGGGCCTGCTCGAGGCAATCGGAGATTAACAGGATGATGAAATGAAAATGAAATGAAAAGAATCCATTCCCAAGGATACTTCCCTCCCCCGAAGAAGCATAATATGATTAATTGTTCAGTAACTATAATATTCAAGAATTAAAATCCATTTTGTGTTATGGGGCTGTCATCCCAATTGTTTCCTTGGCTAAACTAAAGTTTGTTTTTCACTAGAAAAGATTGGGTGACATTTCAGGATAAATTTCTACAACCTTTAATATTATTGTCCTTTGCATTGGTAACACAGTCAATAATTCTATCCATGCAGACACTGCAAAACATCTGACTCTCAAAGATTTGACTAACATCTTTCAAAGTATTCTCAATATATTTTTTCTTCACCTCAAAAGAAAGTAAGGATGGAAGGAAGAAAAAGAAGGTATCATTGCAAGAAGTAAAATTAGAAGAATCAGGGAGACAAATGAAGAGTCTATTGAATAATTCAGGCGTGATGATTGATCCCTGAACAAGTGGTGGGAGGTGATAAAAGTGTGTAAGTTCTATGGACCAGAAAGAGAGCGTAAAGCTAGGAGGGCTTTTGCTTTGCAGGTGGTGTACCTGCATGTACCCCATGTGATGCCCTGACCCTACCAGGAGTGATCCTTGAGTATAGAGCCATGAGTAATCCTTAAGTTCAGCCAGTGTGGCACAAAAAAACAAGAATTAAAAAAATCTTTAAAAAGTGTGCAAAAAATAAATAAAATATACTTAAATTTTAATCTTAAGAGGAAAAATAAAAAACTGCCACTATATTGGGCTAGAGCGATAGCACAGTGGCAGGACATTTGCCTTGCACACAGCCAACATGCCCGACCCGAGTTCGGTTTCTCTGCCCCTCTCGGAGAGCCCGGCAAGCTACCGAGAGTATCTTGCCCGCACAGCAGAGCCTGGCAAGCTCCCCGTGATGTATTCGATATGCCAAACACAGTAACAACAAAGTCTCCAATGGAGATGTTACTGGACCCGCTCGATCAAATCAATGAACGACGGGAGGACAGTGACAGTGACAGATTTGTGTTTCACTACACCTCACAAGTGCCACCTTTTGGGGAAGTTCTAGGGATAAACCTGTAGATCACATGAAAATAATGCCCTCCAGACTCTTGAGATAATTTCCGCAATCCCATAACTAGCACGATTACAGTGAGCAACTGGAAAAGTCCAGAGTTTGAAATTAGAGCTAACCCCTCTCCCTTGTCTCCTATCTAAAATCCAACTCACTGGCTTCCTTAGCAAAAAAACAATCATAGACTTATTTTTGTTAGAAGCGTTTCCTGATTGAAAAATCGATGGTGTATTTCCAGCAGTCCTCTCCTACTCTTGCCAGTTTCCTGCTACTTAATATTCCTCCCCTGACCCTCCGTTTCTCTAATGAAGTCTCACCAAACTAGGCCACTGGGATAGTGGAACCAGCCTATATTTTAAAATCTGAATTGAGTTGATTTGTTTATACCAGTCACCAGTTTATTGCCTCAATGTTATCTGTGCAAAGAATCAATTTCAGGTTTGTTAATTTTCTTAATAATTTCTTTGCTGGTTTTGGTTTTCTTTGGGCGAAAGGCTGTAAATCCAACCTCTTGCCTGCACAGGCAAGGCAAATTCTGCTACAGCTGCTACATCCCAAGCCCTCTACTCATTTCTGATTTTCAGTTTTACTGATTGTACTACAATTTTGATTTTCTTCTACTTTTAGGTTTTATATGCTCTTATTTTTAGTTTCCTTTATTTAAAAAAAATTGTTTGAGAATGCACAACAGTGCTTAGGAGCACAGTCAGTGCTCAGGGGTCATTACTGATTTTGCCTGGGAACCTTATGCAGTGTTAGAAATCAAACAGAGACCTCCTGCTTACATAGTATGCACTCTAGTCCATAAAGCTATCTCTTCAGCCCCTTGTTTCCCCTTGTTTTTCACTCCATAAGGGAGGATCTTATATTATTAAATCCAGAACTCTTATTCCTTTTACATTTAATACTTCTAATTTTCTTTTTTTCTTTCTTATTTTTTTTTCCTTTTTGGATCAGACTCAGTGATGCTCAGGGGTTACTCCTGGCTCATGCACTCAGAAATTACTCCCAGCAGCGCTTGGGGGATCATGTGGGATGCTGAGGATTGAACCCAGGTTGGCCACCTGCAAAGCAAACACCCTACCCATTGTACTGTATCTCCGGCCCCTTTAATTTTTTTTAGAATACTATGTCCTCCTAATACCCAAGGACAATAGAAATGAGGACTAAGAGGACTGGTTCATAGTTGGAAACTTGCCACAGGTTAGGAGTATGTGCGGGTGGATAGAGAAGTGATCACTGTGACAATGATAGCTGGAAATTCCAACACTCTGAACAAGAACTGAGTGCTGAAAGGAAAAAAGAATGCGGGAGTGAGAGGGAAAGAGAGAGAGAGAGAGAGAGAGAGAGAGAGGCAGAGAGAGAGGCAGAGACAGAGACAGAGACAGAGACAGGGACAAGGAAAATGAGAGACATACAGAGAGAAAGAAAAGTGTCTGCCCCACAGCACCCAAAGGGAGAGATAGAACAAAGGGGGGTGCCCTGCCACAGAAGCAGGGTGGGATGGGGGATGAGGGTATGAGGGATACTGGGATTGGTGGGGGTGGGGAATGGGCACTGGTGGTGGGATGGGTACTCGATCATTGTATAACTGAAACCCAAGCACAACAACTTGTAAGTCTACAACTGTACCTCATGATGTTTCACTAATAAAACAAAACAAAACAAAAAAAACAAATACAAATACAAAACAAAACAAAACCACACTAAAATAAAATAAAGTCAAGACATCTATAAAAAAAATAAGAAAAGAAAAGTGTCTGCCAGTGAGGGAAGTAGGATGGGAAGGAGGGTGACGTGAGGGAAACTAGGTAGTGGGAAATATACACTGGTGAAAGGATGTGTGTTGGAACACTGTATGTCTGAAACCCAATCATGAACAAATTTGTAACTGTGTATCTTGTGTCCTCCTTTGTTCATCGATTTTGCTCAAGCGGACCAAGGGACATCTCCATTTTTTTGACACTTGTTGTTACTGTGTTTGGCATATTGATTATGCCGTGGGTAGCTTTCCAGGCTTTGCCGAGCAGGCGAGATACTCTCGGTAGCTTGCAGGGTTCTCCAAGAGGGGCAGAGCAATCAAACCCAGCTGGGCCGGGCTGGCTGCACGCAAGGCAAACGTCCTACCTGTATATCTTGTGATGATTCAATAAGTATATTCGTTAATTAATTAGATTTCCAGGATACTCTGGGAGTTGAAGCTAAAAAATGAATGTGGGAATGTGAGAGAATATAAATATTAGAAACATATGACTAAAATAAAATTATAAAAACTATAAAAACCAGTTCCCGGAAGAGAATAGTGCAGTCGCCTGACCCCACACCTGGCTGCCCTTGCCGGGGCCCCTTGGAGGAGAGCGGGTTGAGCTTCCCTCCCCGCCCCGACCAGAGCTCGGCAGCCGAAGACCTCCAGGACCAGTCACCACCATGCTGAGACCTCCAGGACCAGCCACCACTATGCTGAGTACACATGAAGGTACTGGCAGAGGGACAAAGCCACGCAGGTTCTGGGGCCAAGATCGCCAAGCCTACTCGGATTGGGGCTGAGCATCCTCCACCCTGATCCTCCAAATTCCAGTAGGCGGGGGTCACACCCACCAACTGGCACCTTGGCGCCGTATAATCCCATCAAAGGCCAAGACTCAGAGACTATATAAACGAGTTCCTGGAACCGCGCGGCCGCATTCATAGCTGCACGACATCTTATTATGACATCTTATTATCTCATTCCTACTTTGGACAAACTGGCAGGCTACTGAATGTAGCCTGCCCACATGGCAGAGTCTGACAAACTCCCCACGGCATACCCAATATGCCAAATACCAGTAACAATGATGGGTCTCATTCTCCTAAAGAGCCTTGAATATAATCTCAGGGCTAGGATGAAGGAGACGTTACTGGGGCCTGCTCGAGGCAATCGATGAAAAATAATTAAAAATTTTAAAAATACCTTGCATTCTTTTTGGTAAATCCATTTTTATTTTAAAAGTACTTAAAGATTTCCTGATACAGGGACTGGAAACATGGTACATGAAGTAAGGTTCTTGTGTTTCATACGGTTGAATGGATTTGAATCCCCAGCACTATAAATGCTCACTCAAGTACCTCTGGATGTCACTACAAAACTAGGCCTATTAAGCACTACCCTCTTTCCCAAATAGTTCTCTGAAATATTTGACCAATGGGTTGTTTAGAAGTATATAATTTTAAAATATTTATGAATTCAAAAAAAAGTACGTATTCTACAATATTGTTCTTTTGTTGATTTCTGTTTTTATTTCTGCAAGGTACATGAATATTATTTACATGGGGTCTATCTTACAGTGATTCAGTAAAAAATAAGAAAAATAACAACAAAAAAAGAACGGAAAAGGAGAGAGAGAGCAAAAGAGAATGCCCTGCCACAGAGGCGGGGTGGGGTGGAGCGGATGGGATGAGGGTGGTGGGAGTGATACAGGGACCACTGGTGGTGGAAAATGGGCTTTGGTGGAGGGATGGGTACTCAATCATTGTATGACTGAAACACAAGCACAAAAATTTTGTAAGTCTATAACTGTACCTCCTGGTGATTCACTAACTAAAAAAAAAAAAAAAAAGAACTGAACTGATCTCTGACATGGGGCCTGCTTGGGCCCCTCCATATGGGCCTTGATAGAGGTGAATTCTGAGCACGGAGGCCCAGAGACACTGCAGGTGCCATCACAATTCATGGTGTGGAGGTCCCGGTAGTCCTGGATGTAGTGGGTAATGCAGCCCAGCTTCCCCTGGACATGGGATTCTCTGAGTTCATCTGGACTTCTGTCCGAACACGTCCTCTTTTACATTGTAAAGGGGGTAAATGGGTTTCTGGCTGGAAAGGATTTGCCCCCAGCCCTCCAATGTCTCTAGACCAATACCTGCACTCCCCCTCCTTTTTCCCACGCCACAGGGACCATGTTAACCTTCTTCAAGTATCAATTGATGGCCTTATCTGAGATCCAGCCTCCAATAATAGAAAACTAGGAGCTATTGGAAAAGGGGTTAAACTGCGGTTATGGAGTATGGGCATTCCAGGAAAGGCCTTAATGGTTACTACCCCAACCCCAGTTGTCATCCAACTAAGCAAAACTTGTGGAAACTTTCCAGCACTGCCTCCTTAGCAGCCATGGAAGCTGCACCTTCTAGCCCTTTGGCTATTCCCAATTCTCCCTACCAGTTGTGAAAGTTGCCAGCTCCCTCCCTCAGTGTGAGGCAAAAGTGGAAATGGTAAGTATCACTGTCTTGGGTTTACAATTATCCATCTTTATTGTAATCAGCTGTCTGGATACTAATAGACTCCTTCTGGACATATTGCCAGGCCAGATGTGCCAGGTGTGGAGTTCAGCGTGGGGCTTGGCAAACATGGGTGATGTTCTATCGGCTTATAGGACCTCTTTGCCCTGGGGGGAGGTACATCTGGTTGTGCTCAGGGGTCACTCCTGGCAGGACTCAGGGAACCATATGGAGTGCCAAGGATCAAACCTGAGTTGTCCATATGCAACACAGGAGTCCTACCTGCTCTGGCCCCCTAATCTGTCTTTATGCCTTTGGGAGAATCAGGCCTGGTCTCTATCCCAGCATCCAATCTCCCAACCCCCACCAGCAGTGATACCTGAGCACAGAGCATGAAGGAAGCCCTGAGCACTGCCAGGTATGGTTCCCAAATGTAAAAGGAACAGAGGAAAGGTTAAGTAAAAGTAAAGTAAAGGCCCTCCCGTTGATCATCGATTTGCTCGAGCGGGCCCAGTAACGTCTCCATTGGAGACTTTGTTGTTACTGTGTCTGGCATATCGAATACTCTCAGTAGCTTGCCGGGCTCTCCGAGAGAGGCGGAGGAATCGAACTCGGGTCGGCCATGTTGGCTGTGTGCAAGACAAACGCCCTACCCACTGTGCAAGGTATCAGTAGATAACAGTAGATATCACACACGTACACACACACACACACACACACACACTCACACACACACTCAAAAAGAATGTGTATATGCATTTACCAACTTGAGACTGAGGAAGACACACAGTGTATTACTGAAAATTGAGGTAACCTTGATAAAAATTAAAATTCATGGCCTCTAGAGCATACGCACTGTCCACTACTGAAAAAAAGTTTCAAATTACAAGTCTTACAATAGTTTCTTTTTTAAGCAAGATAGCTTTTATTGAATGAAACTTGCTTAGAAAGAGGTGAGAGGAGAGAAAGAGGGGAAATGTGCTCGAGAGAGAACACAAGCTGCTCCAGAGTGGAAGAAGCAAGCAAAGAGACACACAAGCAAGCAAGCAGGATACTTGTTCAAGGGAGAACATGGGCTTGAAGAGCAAGCCTACAAATCATTTTTATTATTCAGAATCTCTTGCTGGACATATCCTCAGAGGTTGGGGGTCAGTTCCAGTATAGAAATAAGGCCAAACTGCATCCAGAAAACAAACTTTAAAGGTATACAGATGAGATTTGTCACTCAAATTGTAAAAGGAAACTTCACCCAAATCACAGTCTAAAAAAATACCAATCTTTGTAGGCATTACGACTGGGAAGAGATCGATTTTTTGAGGCCCTAACGCAACATAATCATCCACATCCCGTCGTCCAATACCCCATAATCCATCTTGTACTGAAAAAGCTTGATTCGGTGCTTGATTCCTCCCGAGAAAAGTCTCTTTACAGACACCTACGATCCATCCAACTTTGTCCTTCACTTCCACCTGCCAGTAGTGCCTGCCAGCATTATAACCCTTGGAACCCAGAACAGCTGGGAAGAGGTAGAATCTCCATGGGCTATGAGTTGACTTTTGCCGTGTTCTTCCATATCGAACCGTTTTCCTATCTTCTGAGACAGTCAGATCATGATGTGCTGTTTCTGGATCTAGAAACACATCTACCTCAAATCGCTCGATGACTCTGTTTAGACCAGAATACTGGGGTGGCAAATGGTAACTGTATTCCTTTAACTGGAATGAAAAAGGCTCAGGGGACTTTAAGTTTTGATAGGCATGATAGATCCAGTTAATGTCTGTCAGTAATGCCAGGGCTGATTTGCTCTTTATGCCCTGTAACAGACGTTTTAATGTCGAGGTATACTCGGAACACTGTGTTCGGGTTTCACGCAGTTTGGTCTCAAAAGCCATTTCCTCCTCTTCTAACTGCTGAAGAAGAGTTTCTCGCTCATTTTGAAGACAGAATTTAAGCCGCTCACATTCAGACTCTATTTCGTCTCTTGCATGTTCTACCTGTTTTTTCAACTCCAAGGCTCTTCTGGTTTGTATAATCCTGACTTTTTCTAGTCGTCTCACTTTTTTCTTCCATGACTCAATGCACTGCTCCAATCTTTTCTTATAATAGGGAGCAGCCCTCTCGACAGGCCAGATGTGATGTTTCTTGTGGTCGGAGGAGAAGCTGCACTGTGAGCATAAAACCTCCAGGTCTTGCTGGCAGAAAAAGGCCAACACTAGATTATGCTTTTTACAAACAACCTTTTCTTTCTGCTTCCTCCTCTTGCTTCTTCTTTTCTGGAGCAGCCTAGCAGCTTCAGTCAAATTACCCAGTTGGGTGTTCCTCCTGAATTTCTTTCCTGGAAAGCACATTCGACAAATAGGGCAGGGAAAAATATCCTTTAGGTCCTCCCAGAACTTGTTGATGCAAGAGAAACAGAAGTTGTGGCCACAGTTAATGGTCACTGGGTTCTTCAAGTAGTCGTTACAGAGGAAACAGCTAGCTCCTGCCTGGAGGTCTTCCAAGGCCGTCTCCATCTCCACTGACATAAAGACCAAAGTGGGAAGGTGGTATGACCTTTTGCTCTCTAGAAGACAAAACCCAGTGAACAGTGAATATCCTCCTATAGATATCGCGAAATGACCAGTTTTCAGTTTAACTGGCTTGACATGTTAATGGCAGCCTCTACACATCTGTTTTATCCTTTAGCCTGTTACCTTTAGAGCGTTTGTTGTCAAGAATACTCCCACAGGCTATATATAGTCGATGGAACACTGGACTGTGTCAGCTGAGCTGCTGGCCTTAGCACTGGATGATGTGAATGATGGCTTTCTTATTCAGGAAAATAGCCTCAAGTCCAAGACTAAATCCTCCTAAATCCTCCTAAAGAGTGAGAAAAACATTATGTTAAAATACCGTTCAATAAGTACTGAAGTTTTAAAATGTTCACATAAGAATCGAATACAAACACTAAGATTGTTGAGCAGAAATTCTTTTTAAAAATACATAAGATATTCATGATTGTAGCAATTCACTTCACATATTTTTATAGTTTGAGGGTCACAATTTGTGGTGTGGAGTCAGAGAGACAATACAGTGAGTAGGGTGCTTGCCTTGTATGCAGCAAACCTGACCAGATCCTATCTCCAGCATCCCATAGGGTCCCCAGAGCCCTACGAGAAATGCTGCCTGAGCACAGAACTAGGAGTCAGCCCCAAAGACTTCCAGGTGTGGTCCAAAACCATGCAAAATTAGAAAAACAAAAAAGAAAACCCAAACAATTGGTGGTGCTCTGAAGGTCATACCCACCCTGGGGTCAGCCTCTCTGCCCACTGTACTATCACCTCCTGCACTTTCTCTGCCTAGGATCTAGGGATGGACAGTGCAGGACTCCTAGCTGTGCTGGGGCTGGGAGAACCCTGAACACCAGGTCTATGTGGGTCTGACAGTTCTGAGCTCGCCTAGTACCACCAGTGCAGATCATTTGGGTCCAGCTCCTGACATAGTCCACCCACCCCGCCCTTAGAATATCTAGCTGTTGGTCCCTCCTACGCTGTATGGAAGAGCCGGCTTGCAGAACTCGGAAAATGAGCATTTTTGATAAAATGTAAACTTAAATAAAGGTAAAGGTAAAGGCCCTCCCGTTGATCCTCGATTTGCTCGAGCGGGCCCAGTAACGTCTCCATTGGAGACTTTGTTGTTACTGTGTCTGGCATATCGAATACTCTCGGTAGCTTGCAGGGCTCTCCGAGAGGGGCGGAGGAATCGAACTCGGGTCGGCCATGTTGGCCGCTAGTAAGGCGAACGCCCTACCCGCTGTGCTATCGCTCCAGCCTTAAACTTAAATATTTTCTGTAAATTTAACACACCGAGACCTTTTTTAACCTCACACAACTGTCCATCTAATGCGCGGAGCCTGCGATGTGACTTTGCCCTTATTACAATATTTTGGTGGGACCTTCCAATACCCATAATAGATTGTCAAATGCCTGAAGTGGAAATGGCCTCCAGCTTGCTTATTTTTTTTCACCCGGGCAAATGATTAAAAAGCATTTCAGCAAAGAATTAAGGAAAGAAAGAGAGCCTGGGGTAGAGAACTTACACCCCAAAGGACCCACCACAGACTGCTCATCTATCAAGCTGAAACCATCACTCAGATTTTTGTGAGCATTAATAATAGCATAAACTGACACTGGACATAGCCAACAAGCGAGACTGGGGGGAGGGGTATCTCAAAGGTCCACATGGGGGCTACTTCGTGTGCCACACTCTTCCTTCTTACCTATCACCACAGGCCCATGCCCTATCTCCTACCCCCACCCCCCACCCCTGTCTCCCGCCCCGCCACCCTGCCTCATTGAGTCTAATCTTTTCAAGCCCATGTGTACCAATATCTCCAGACTGTCTTGTTTTGGGAACACATCCTGCTGTGTCCAGGGCTTACTCTTGACCATATAATCAGAGATGGGAGACCATAAGAGGTTCGGGGTATAGAACCCATGTTGACTGTGTGCTCTGTTCACTGATAGTACTCAGTTCACTGTACTATTACTCCAGACATGGGCTCACATTGGCTCTCTCTTCATCCTTAACACGCCTACCCTCAGATCTGTCCAACTCAAAATCATGTTCCAGTTTGCACCTCTACCATCTCTTCAAGAGACCTCACTAAGACTGAGTTTCGTTTCAATAACAACTCCCCACATTC